AAAGGCAGTTGGCAGGACAATTTATTCACGGCCTAAAATGCTAGCAGGGCGCAATATAGTGTGGGGAAAATGACGAAAAAACGAAGTGAAACGGCCAGAATCCTGCGAAGAACGGTGGTCCATTTGTGGGCGGGCGGGCGCGGTGGGCGTTCGGGTCGGTATGCTGTAGCTTGGCAGGGCCTTATAAGGGTACCTTCCTCAAAAAGGCGCTACGCAGCGCCTGCTCAGGGTCGCGGAATTCCGTCCTGCAGGCATATTCAATCCTACTCGTCTTCGGGATTTATCGTGTCCACTGCCTTTAAGCTTTTGGAGCACCACCAATCGCAGAGGACATCCAGTGGATCTTCTCCATTCATCCAAGCCCCGCTTATTCGGTTCCTTATCGTTGATCCACGCTGCCACCAGCAGCTAGATCGTTTCCCAGATAGCGGAGGACTTCCATGCTTTCGGCGGCTTACCCCATGACGGCCCACGATGGGCTCCCTCCAACACTTGGAGCTCCGGAGATTGGTCTTTTCCTTTCTCAGCCATTACTTCTGGCCATTTTGCAACATCAGTACTGCAACCATAAGCAAGTAAACCAATGAATAAACTTTGCTGAGAGACATGAAGTTTATCCTAGCAGGATGATTCACAAATTCTAACCAAGTACTCTATTGTGTGACTCCAAAAAACAAAGCGCCACACAACGAAACAGTGCATTGCAAACTACATCAACCTCTACTTTGATAACCACGAAAAGAATTGAACTGCGCTGAAGTCCATTTTGATTCAGGAAAAACTGCGATCAGTGAGATGTTGGTGCTCATTTATCGAAAAACTGACTCACTAAAAGGAAGCGTTCAGTGACAGTGGGAGACACCTACAGGACCGTCCGTTCCGCCTTTAAAGGGATGTGTTCCTCCGTTCTGATAAAAGTCCGAGCTCAGCTGCAGAGAAGTAGACCACAACACATTAGCCAATACGGTTCAAGGGATGCAACGTCGTGATCGCAGCAGCGATAATCAGCCTCCCTCCAGTCAATCAACTCTCTCGATGCATGCAGCGGCTGGAACCTCTCTTATACGGGGCGGGGGTGTCCCTCAGACGGCGAATTACATTCGAGGAACGGTATTTCGCGGCGAAGCGATGGGGTTCGCGTGGCTGGCAGAAAGCATGGCCACTTTTTCCGCTCAAAATCACGAGACTGGTAACCGACTGTCGTTCCTACACTCCGCCTGCGCGATACTCAAGTAGCAGCACCTGCGTCTATATGGAGGTTGCACAGCTGAACACCACCTACTGATCAGTGGTAAGGACCAAGCTTTTAGCGGGAAGAGGTGAGGGTACAAATTGTCTTTAACGAAAAAATAAGCTCTGAAACCATCCCTACCATCAAGGGCAAAAGTGAGAAAACAGGTTCTAAGCGTACTGCAAAGGAGAAAACGAATTCCCACGACTGGTAAATTTTTAAAAGACATTGTAAATCGGAAGAAGCAGAACTCCTGGAAATCCAGTACGAGCTGCTCATGAATTAGGCAGCGTTCAGACTTCGCGACGGCAGCGCTTCGGTCGCGCGTTCGACGCGATCGATGCAGTTGAAAGCATGCGCATCGATCGCGCGACGAGGCGCTGCCGTCGCGAAGTCTGAACGCTGCCTCAGAAGCCTGTCGTTCAACGAATCTACCCGACAAAGCGGCTCTAGTGTCAACTGTGGAAAGCGGTAGCTCACTGCGCGCGACTAAATCGCCCGGACGCGAAGACACTTTACTCAAACGAGACAGATATAAACCGGAAAATAACAATAAAAAGAATATTTAATACAAATGAAAAAACGCACCTGTGGGAATCCGTCTCACGGAAGCTTTTCAAGCCACAAAAAGACCCTGATAAATAAAAAACCTATTAAACGAAGAAATCAGCTTGGCCAATGGACGAAATATCGACGGAGCAAACCATATGTCTATTTTCTAAAACACGATATACACACTCTTTATTAGTTTCCTCCAAATAGCTTATAACTTGATATGTTCCAAATATTGATGTTTCAGGTCAATCAGTCCCTATCTGCACGATAACACATAGAATCTTCCTTTGGTTGTTTGTTACACTGAGCTTTTTTTGCTAGTTAAAATAATATCTAGTCATAATCTGGCCGACATATAACGTAAATGCATCGAATGGGAGAGGATTACACTCAGACCGCTTAAGACAACCACCACATTTCCCAGCCAACCACAATAACAATTGGATAAACAATAAACAAAACCTTTGGCGAATCACAGGGGTTTCCATAACATCTATGCTAGTGAATAATGTTGAATTTTTTGCAACAGCTATCTATTTTTAAGGCGAGACTAACCCTATGTATCTTACAGATGAAGGCCATTTGCCACAAC